GTTGGACCACTGCCAAAGTCCTCTGGTGGGCACCTATACATCTTGGCTGCAACTGAGTACTTCTCAAAATGGGCTGAAGTTGTTGCTCTTAAGGAAGTAAAGAAGGAAAATGTTGCAAGTTTCATCCGAGTAAACATTATCTATCGCTTTGGCATTCCTCGTTACATAATAACGGATAATGGCAAGTCGTTCGATAATAGGTTGATGAACAAGATTTGTGAACTCTTTGGCTTCAAGCAACGTAACTCTTCTATGTACAATGCTGACGCCAATGGTCTAGCCGAGGCATTCAACAAAACTCTATGCAACTTGTTAAAGAAAGTCGTCTCCAAATCCAAACAGGATTGGCATGACCGTATGGAGGAATATCTGTGGGCATATAGGACAACTCACCGCACGCCAACACAAGCGACCCCTTATACACTCGTTTATGGAGTTGAAGCCGTCTTGCCACTCGAGCATCAAATACCTTCATTACGATTAGCTATTCAAGAAGGCATCACTGATGAAGAAAATGCTCTACTTCGATTAGCAGAGTTGGAGGCTCTTGATGAGAAAAGGTTGGAAGCTCAACAGAGTCTTGAATGTTATCAAGCTCGATTGTCTCGCGCCTTCAATAAAAGAGTTCGCCCAAGATCCTTTCAAGTAGGAGATCAAGTCCTTGCAATAAGAAGACCCATAATTACTTCCCATAAACTTGTAGAGAAGTTCACTTCAAAATGGGATGGGCCATATGTCGTACAAGAAGCTTACTCAAATGGGGCTTACAAGCTAGTTGATGTAGATGGCATGAGAATCGGCCTTATTAATGGCAAGTTTTTGAAGAAGTATTATCCTTGAAGTTGCAAAGCTCCTTGACACATGAGCCCAAACTGCATGTTCGAACGCTCCATGATGCATGAGCCTAAACTGCACGTTCCTACACTCTTGGCCCGCATGAGTCTAAACTGTGTACGGCCGACCAAAAAAAAAGAGTCCGCTAGATTAAAAACCTCAAAAGAGGCGGCCTAGGCAAAAGTTAGGACATAAAAAAATAAAAAAAATAAAAAATAAAAAATCACCCATTCTAAACTGCGGTATGACTTGATCCTCTTCACTGAGGTACATAGGCAGCTTAGAGTTTCATTCTGAGTTCAGTCGCATGAGTTCAAAACATACATAGTGCCCCAATCGTTGTTCGAATGAAGTACGATGGAATGTAATCCATTCAATCAGTACTTGAAAATCGAGCTGAGATACCATTCTTCTGTTAAACTTTGGATCACATTTGATTCAAAGGGGGGAAGTTGCTATGGTAAATTGGTGTCTTCAATAAAATGATGACAGTCTTTTATGAGGCTACAACGTATTTTCATTGAATTCTAGGGATTCGCTATGTCTTCATGTTCGCATAACCTTCAAGTTTGTTGGTCTTTATATCCGCTCACTTCCCTAAAAAAAGGGAAGAAAAGAGAGGCGTCTAAAGGGAACACAAATATAAGAAGAAAGATTCCTGGGCACAATGTTTCAAATTCAGTGAGACTTGAACTGAAGATATTTGTGAGAATGGAGCTTTTGAATTTCGATTGATAGCAATAAAAACGTCTTGTGATCCCGAGGCTTCCATACCAAAACATAAAAGTTTTGGCGAAGTCACGCTAATTCGAAATTGTTGGTATATTAAAATCTGATGTTGATTTCAAAATACTATCTGAAACTATCCTTAAGGTATTAAATCCTACATTTTGGAAATGTTTTAGATTTTGAAGTCTTATTTTCATAAAATCAAACGGTTTGTGATTTCGACATTCTTACATCAAGATATAAAAATTTTGGTAAAATCGCGCAAGTTTGAAATTGTCACCGTGTCGAAATTTTAAGTTGACTTCAAAATATTATCTGAAACTATCCTTAAGGTATTAAATCGCACGTTTTGGACATGTTTTAGATTTTGAAGTCTAGTTTCCAAGAAATCAAATGGTTTGTAATTTCGATATTTCTACACCAAGATACGAATATTTTGATGAGACTGCGCAAATCTGAAATTGGCAGCGTGGTGCAATATAAAGTTGGTTTTAAAATGTAGTCAGGGACAATTATGAAGGTGCTTTTTTTAAGTTTTTCGTTGCGGACTTTTAAAGTTGTTCGTCTCGAACTTAAAGGCATTTGAAGTTTTAAAGGTTTTCGTTGCGAACTTTTAAAGGTGTTCGTCTCGAACTTAAAGGCATTTGAAGTTTTAAAGGTTTTCGTTGCGAACTTTTAAAGGTGTTCGTCTCGAATTTTTTAAAGGCATTCGAAATTTTAAAGATTTTCGTTGCGAACTTTTAAAGGTGTTCGTCTCGAACTTTTAATGGCATTCGGGTTTTTAAGGTTTTCGTTCTGAACTTTTAAAAGGCGTATGTTTCGAACTTTTAAAGGTGCTTGTCTTGAACTTTTGAAGGTGCTTGTGGCGAACTTTAAAGAGTCCCCACTGCCGACTTTTAAAGATTTCTACCACGAACTTTTATGGATCTTCGCCACGAATTTTAAAGGTTTTCAATGTGCACTTTTAAATATCTTGACCACTAACTTATAAGGATCTTTGCGCGAGCTTTTAAGGGTCTTCATCGCATGCTTTTAAAGGTCGTCACCGTGAACTTTTAAAGGTCTTCACTGTGCACTTTTAGAGATCTTGACCACGAGCTTTTAAGGATCTTTATGCGAACTTTTAAGGATCTTCGCCACAAATTTTAAAGGTTTTCATCGCGAACTTTTATGGTTTTCCACCGCAAATTTTAAAGGTCTTCATCGCGAACTTTTATGGTTTTCCGCTGCAAATTTTAAAGGTCTTCACCGCAAATTTTTAAGGTCTTCATCGCGAACTTTTAAAGGTCTTCGCCACAAATTTTTAAAGGTCTTCATCGCGTACTTTTAAAGGTCTCCACCGCAAATTTTTAAAAGTCATCACCACGAACTTTTAAAAATCTTGGCCATGAACTTTTAAGGATTTTCGCCACAAATTTTAAAGGTCTTCATCACGAACTTTTATGGTTTGCCGCCGCAAATTTTAAAGATCTTCATCACGGACTTTTAAAGGCCTTCATCTTGAACTTATAAAGGGCTTCGTAGTTTGACGAAGTTACTTTTAAAAAAGAGACAACGGAGTGAAAAAAAAAGGCACAAAAAAAGAAGAAGATATTACCTCAGCGTTAATGCTTCCGAATTCACAAAGGTAGACTCAAGTGGCTTGCAAATACTGCGAATGGATGTTGAACAAATACGAGCACGCGGGTTTATATAGATCTTTGAAAGAAGATGTTACAATGATGCTGCCGATGTGGGAATAAGTTGCAAAGCGGCGAGACTAACTTTTTATCCAACAAGGATTCGGCTACTAGTAGTGGCGGTGTTCTAATTGGTGCCAAGAGTGTGGAAGTCTATATTAGCAGTATGTAGTTTCCTTGTTAAGCCACGTGAAGTTGGAGATGTTATCTATAATTCTTGCAAAAGTTTCTTATGGAAGATGCTGCATCATGGCTAGGAAAGCTCAAGTCAATATAAATCCCATCTTAATTCCGTGCACTTTATCATCTCAAAATTTCTTGGCACTTTGTTTGAAATTACAAAAAAGAAGAAAGCAATTAACCATCCAAAGATTCCTTAATCAAATCTGTACTGGGCAAATCTTTGGATTTGGAGAATTAAAACTTTGAAAGCTCGTCCTAATGCCCAGAAACGTTAAAGGAAATAAGACATGAAATTTCCTTCATATTGGAGTTATGGGGTATTAATGACCGTTGCATGCATTCATGGTATTTCAAGCCTAGTCTTCTATGTTCTGACAAGTCTTGAAGTAGGGAGCATTTGTAGACATATAAATTTTATTAAAATTAAATTCATAAAATAATTTGTACTATATTTGAAATTCAAGTTATATTAGTTCAAATAAATTTATTGGACTAATATAAGTGGATTAATTGTATATGTCCCATTTTTATGGATTAAATAAATAAGTCTTAATCCATAGGGCTAACCCATTTAATTGGGCTAAAGTGATGAGCCCAAGATGTCATCTTCCTAGAGGCCCAGTTTGGTGCCACATGTCAAATGACGTGGCACGCCAAGTCAAACGAAAGAGCCAATATGATCATGCCACGTGTCAAAATGACAAGTCATGCCAAGTCACATTAAAAGGCCAATGAAATCGCGCCACATATGCAAGTGACATGTTCTGGCCAATCAAATGCGGCATTGTCACTCCTCAATCTGATTGGTCGGAAAGAGCTTGTTCTTATCACAACTTCTCCCTTCCACAACTATAAATGAGGGTTTTCACAACCCAGAAAGGGGACCAGAAGTTATAACAAAAAGCAAGAGGGAGCTCGTGGATCAAACGCTGCAGATTTCTCTAAAAGCTACAAGCATTCAAGTGTTCTACGGATTAAAAGATCAAGACGAAGATTCAAGAACAAGCTGCAAGCCCTTGGATTAAAAATACGTCAAGATCAAGATTAGGCCCCAAACACATGGATTAAAATAAATTAAAATTCAAGATTAAGCTCAAAGGCTCTTTTATTTACCGTTGAAAAGAAGAATCAGAGGATTCATACAGATTGTAACACTCAAATATTTGAAATAAAATACTACGATTGTTGCAATATTTTTCAGCTTGATTTTATTTTCCTGACGCAAATTTATTGTCTACAGTATATATATATATATATATATATATATATATATATATATATATATATTTCACCAAAGAATGACATTGCCCTGCCCCAAATGTAATGGCGGGAAGAATGACAATAACCCATGAGCATCTTCTTTACCTAAAAACTAATCATGCACTGCGCTTGACAAGTTTTAGCAGGAAGGATTGGCAAATAGGTAAGAGCATCTAACATATCTGCTGCCTGTGTAATTGCCGCGAGCTCCATGAGCTATTTCGCTGTGACGGAAAAATGATCGTTGGCAACCTTTTGCTTTCCTCAACATGAGGAAAATCAATGGTGTAATGAAGACCGCGACTCTCGTGTCGAGAAAGAGCACTGTTAACTACCAGGTTGGCACAACAGAAGAGATTCCTCATCTCACAAGCCTCTACTCCAACCATTGTTGGTTCCCAGCCATGCTGAAATAGGTATGTTTCCCATTCCAACTCCAACTCTCTGATTCTCTTCTCAGCTGCGGTTAGTCTTGAGGTAGACCTAACAATTCCAACATATTCCCACATGATTGACTGCAGTTCTTTCCTTACTTCCCTTGTCCGGTGAATGACTTTGCCATGTACTGTATCTCCTAGTAACATGGGAGCTACAGGCCGCGACCACCAACTTGAAGCACCGTGATCAATTCTAGACACATTCATGTGATCAATTGAAGGCTGTACAGCTCTTCGTGCAAACACTAGTGCTTCAAGCAACGAGTTGCTAGCAAGTCGGTTCGCACCATGTAAACCAGTACATGCAACTTCACCTGCCACATAAAGACCATGCACGTTAGTCTCACCCTCGAGTCCAGCACGGACTCCACCACACATGTAGTGAGCAGCAGGAACCACTGGAATCGGCTGCTGTGTTATGTCTAACCCATGGCGGAGACACTCAGCAGCTATATTAGGAAAATGAGAAAGAACCTTCTCTCGGGGCTTGTAACTGATATCAAGAAGAACATACTTTTCACCACGCTTTTTGAGCTGGTCATCTATACTTCTTGCTACCACATCTCTCGGGGCAAGCTCTGCTCTTTCATCATACATTGGCATAAATCTCTCCATATCTAAGTTGTAAAGGATGCCTCCATCACCTCTGACAGCTTCAGTTATCAAAAAAGCGTTCTCTCTGGTTCTTGTTGGTCTGATGGGAAGGCCTTCATCAGCCAAAGCGGTTGGGTGGAATTGCACAAACCTGGCAACACGAGGAAGAGAATTGTAATTACTAATGCAACCTTCATCAACCTCGCAAATAAAGACTTGTCTACCATCCAAAAGATGATCAAAGGAGGACCATCAATTAGAGAGCAGACTGCTAGTCTAGAAATCTTTTCTACATCAACTAAATCCCTCAATGAAGAAAATTTGATGCCCTTAATCCTGAAAAATTCAAGTTGCATATCCAATATCATCCCGCACAACATTTTGAACACACCCTTGTATTTTTAGTCAAAAGTGCAAATTCTGAATGAATAGCAGAACAAGATGCAGAAATCAAGAAGGCAAAAAAAGGATGAAATCAAGATTAGCAGATTTTACAGCACAACTCACTAAAGCAGGGGCAGAGATATTGTACAATGAGAATGCAATGCAACTGAGGATCACTTACTCCATGTTAGAAATTACAGCTTGAGCTCGATGAGCCATAGCCATTCCATCTCCAGTTGCAACCTACAACCATCATGCCCACATTAAAAAAACTTTTTTTTTCATTAATAAAGGCACAAGTTGTCAAATATAAAAACAGAATTGGCCCCACCGCCAATTAGTTGCTCCAAAAACTTACAGAAATGATTTCAAAAGAAAGGCAAATTTGATAACGAGCATAACAACGCCACAGCAGATGCCTAACCCAGGTTATTACAACGTTGAACAATGTGTCTTGACAAGAATCCACTCATCCAAGGAAAGGATCATCTATTATACCCAGAACTTTAAGTTTTTTTNTCACCGTTAAACTTTTGGACTATATCTACCCTTATTTGCTAACAGTTGATTAATCTCTTTTTTTAATTAATATCTAATTACTCTGTTTAGCACCAAAATGTGTCACATGTCCCACAAGTGGCTAATTAATAAACCTCCCTGCCCCTTTAACCCTCTCCCTTTAACCCCTGCACCCCGGCACTGCTCTTAGACCATTTTGCCCAACTTCCAGCGAAGAGCTCCATCTATTCCCCTTCTCCATTGCAACACAGTAATGCTTCTATTGCCCAACATGTTGCTGCCCCAAACCCACTTCATCTAGTTAACTTTCACCATCCAATACTCAAGCAATAGCTTCCCAAAATCCCACCCCAAACCATTCTCCACCGTCACCCAAAGTACTCCCTCTATACCTAAACAATCACTTCCACCGTTATCTCTAGGTAGCAACCACCCCAACCATAATTAACCATCCCTGAAATTTTCATAAAAGTTTGAGACCACAGAACCTTCAAAAATTTAAAAAATAAAAAAAAATGTCGCCGGAAAAATTTCCCTATGCGACACCATCAACCATTAAAAATGAAAGACGATGGGTTTTGCTATGGTAGAGGGGCGGCTCGTTGATGGGGTTGTAAAGCTGTTGTATACGGTCGAAATGGATTCCGGCTTTCGCACGTGTGATCGAGTTCGAATGATAATCGATCAAAGTGAGACTTCGAGATGGTTTCCGAAGATGGAACAAACAAGCTTCGAACCCGAGGGGCCGATCAATGTCGAGTTCGATATTGTTATTGAGTTCGAATCCAAATCGAACTATGATGCAGAGTAAAGCTATCAAGCTTATGAGCCAGAGACCAACCAACATTGACCCCGAATCAATTCAAGGGTCCGAGTCAGAATCGAGCTTAAGCCAAAGATCGAGAGCTCGAGTTAGAATCGGGCTCAAGCCAAGATCAAAAGCCCGAGTCAGATCGGACTCACAGACATAAGCCGTTGCAATCTCACTAGATGAGAGAATCTTGGCAGAAATTGTGGAAAAGCTGATTTATCATGGATCTCCCACTGAGTATTTTTTAATTATATTTAAAGTAAGGTCCCTCTACTATAAAGAGGGGTTTATCATTTCTGGAAGGGCAGTTTTTTTGGAGTTTAGATTGTAATTCAAGCACCATATTTTCTGATATTCGAGAGTTATTCTTTTAAGCCTCATAAACTGATTCATCTTGCTTGGTCCCAAAAATCGCTTTTGTTACAACTTTGTTTATTTAGTCTTCTCTGCGGTCCATATTTGATATTTTCCTTTTATCCTTACAATTTGTATTGAGTTATATCACATATCCTTAGAACTACGAATAAATTCAACTCTATCCGTTTTTCGAGTAAACAGTTTGGCGCCCACTGTGGGGCTAAGGATAACAGTGGTTATTTGATACGAATCTGAAAAAACACGCCATTGTGTTTTACGCTTGTTTCCGAAAATATCTTGAATTTCGGATTAGCTACGACTAACCATCAATCAAATGGCTTCACCGATCGATAACGGGGCCGGTCTTCAAGACGAAAACAACTTGACACCCAGTACTGAAAGACCACTTGTGAACACCGTTGGAGCTCGAATCGGAGCGCCAATTGATATCAATTCGCATGTAGCCATTGAGGCGAACCTACATGCTGAACCCGAGAATAGCATCCATGGTGGCACTCGGTCTGCGGCTCGAGATACCCAAAACATCGAGGAAAACGGCGTTAACTTGCGTATGATTTTCGAAATGTTGCAAGCCCAACAGGCAGCAATAGCTCAGTTGCAGAGCCAAACCCAGCTACAAAGCAGGCCGGAGCCCAATCCACCCCGAGAAATCACTCACAGAACGGAACCAGCCATAGTAAAGTCAAATGAGCAAGAATCGGGGACTACTCCCGAAATTGCTAAATTGCTCGAGGAACTCACAAAGCGAGTCGAAACCAACGATAAAAAAGTAGAAACTTATAACTCTAGGGTCGATCAGATCCCGGGAGCTCCACCAATGATAAAAGGGTTGTATTCGAAAAAATTCGTGCAAAAACCTTTTTCCTCGAGCGCAGCCCTGAAAGCAATCCCCAAAAAATTCTGTATGCCCGAAATTCCCAAATATAACAGGACGACCGATCCCAACGAGCACATCACTTCTTACACATATGCCATCAAGGGCAATGATTTAGAAGACGATGAAATCGAATCTGTGTTGCTAAAAACATTCGGAGAAACCCTCTCGAAGGGGGCAATGATTTGGTATTACAACCTACCGCCAAATTTCATCGACTCGTTCGCCATGTTAGCAGATTCTTTTGTGAAAACACATGTCGGCGCCATAAAAGTCGCAACAAGGAAATCGGACCTCTTCAAGATTAAGACAAAAGGATAACGAGATGCTGAGAGAGTTCGTATCTCGTTTTCAAATGGAACGAATGAACTTGCCACCAGTCACAGACGATTGGACTGTTCAGGCTTTCACTCAAGGTTTGAACGAGCGAAGTTCGACGGCTTCACGGCAATTAAAGCATAACCTGATCGAATACCCAGCCATCACATGTGCCGACGTGCACAATCGGTACCAATCGAAAATTAGGGTCGAAGATGATCAATTGGGGTCTGAACCCGCTAATTGAAGGGATACTAATCGAGAACGAGGTCTGATTGGGGATCGATACCAACCGTACAACGGAAGCCACAGAGTCGGTGAATCGAGACATAACCTCAAGCAAAATAAAAAAAAAGTGATCGAGGTCAAGGGTCCCGGGGGCTGATAAACAGAAGTAGTTTCGATAGGCCTGTCGGATCTAAGGAAGCACCTCGGTTATCGGAATATAACTTCAACGTTGATGCATACGCCATCGTATCAGCTATCGGACGCATCAAAGACACTAAATGGCCTCGACCCATGCAAACCGATCCTGCCCGGAGGAATCCCAATCAAATATGCGAATACCATGGCACCCATGGCCACAGAACAGAAGATTCCAGGCAACTAAGAGAGGAAGTAGTTCGGTTATTCAACAAAGGGCACCTTCGGGAATTTTTGAGCGATAGGGCGAAGAACCATTTTAAAAACAGGGATTTCGGCAAGCAAAACGAACAGGAAGAACCACAGCACGTCATTCACATGATCATTGGCGGCGCCGATACCCCTCAGGGACTAGTGCTTAAACGCACTAAAACATCGATTGTGAGAGAAAATCGATCTCGAACTCAAGATTACACACCCATAGGAACTTTGTCCTTCAATGACGAAGATGCAGAAGGAGTCATACAACCTCATAACGATGCACCGGTAATATCCGTACTCATGAATAAAACTAAAGTTAAGCGTGTGTTGATTGATCCAGGTAGCTCGGCCAACATCATCAGATTGAAGGTCGTAGAANCGCAAAAGAAATGTTCGCTGTCGAGGAAGCGAAACCAATATCCTCGCCTTCACCAATAAAGGGATCGGGCTCAGAAGGAGAACGAGATACCAAATAGCAATCACAGACATCGGCTTCGACCCAGCCAGATAACCGGAAGATCGAAGAAGATGATGATCAGAGGATCCCTCGATCCGACGCCACCAAATCAACAATTGAGGAGCCGGAGCAAGTCACACTAATCTAGCACTGGCCCGAACGAAAGGTATACCTGGGAACGGGGTTGAGCCCCGAACTCAGGAAGAAACTTATTCAATTTCTTATCGATAACATTGATTGCTTTGCCTGGTCCCATTTAGATATAACAGGGATCCCACCGGACATAACGACGCATCGGCTAAGCTTGGACCCTAAGTTCAGACCGGTGAAGCAAAAGAGAAGACCTCAGTCCGAGGTAAAACACGCATTCATAAAAGACGAGGTAACCAAACTTCTCAAGATAGGGTCCATTCGGGAGGTGAAATATCCCAAATGGTTAGCCAATATAGTTGTAGTGCCTAAAAAAGGGAATAAACTTAGAATGTGTGTGGACTATAAGGATTTGAACAAAGCATGCCCCAAAGATTCTTTTCCGCTACTCAACATCGATCGCATGATCGATGCCACGGCCGGTCACGAGATCCTCACTTTTCTCGATACCTACTCCGGGTATAATCAAATCCAGATGAACTCGGAGGACCAGGAAAAGACTTCGTTTGTCACCAAATATGGAACATATTGTTATAATGTGATGCTCTTCGGGCTAAAAAATGCAGGGGCTACTTACCAATGCTTAGTAAATAAAATGTTCGAATAACAAATAGGTAAATCAATGGAAGTTTATATTGATGACATGCTAGTTAAATCCCTGCGCGCAGAGGACCCATTTGCAGGAAACGTTCGAGATTTTGAGGAAATACAACATGAAGCTCAACCCCGAAAAATGTGCTTCCGGGGTCGGTTCGGGCAAGTTCCTCGGCTTCATGGTGTCAAATCGGGGAATCGAGATTAACCCTGATAAAATCAAAGCCATCGAAGACATCACCATCGTGGACAGCGTGAAAGTTGTACAAAGGCTAACGGGACGGATTGCGGCCTTAGGCCGATTCATTTCGAGATCATCAGATCGAAGTCACAAATTTTTCTCCCTACTCAAAAAGAAGAACGATTTCGCTTGGACCCCGGAATGCCAACAGGCATTAAAGGAACTAAAACAATATCTGTCGAGCCCACCACTACTTCACACACCAAAAACAGACGAAAAACTTTGCTTATACTTGGCAGTATCGGAAATCGCAGTAAGCGGTGTCCTAGTTCGGGAAGAGCAAGGTACGCAATTTCCCATTTATTATATAAGTCGAACCTTAGGAGAAGCAGAAACTAGATATCCGCACCTAGAAAAATTGGCACTTGCACTGATAAGCGCCTCTAGAAAGTTACGACCGTACTTTCAATGTTACCCCATATGCGTATTAATGACTTACCCACTTCGTAATATTTTGCACAAGCCCGAACTATCAGGCCGATTGGCCAAATGGATCGTCGAACTCAGTGGGTACGATATCGAATATCAACCCCATACGGCCATCAAGTCTCAAATTTTAGCAGACTTCGTGGCCGATTTCACGCCAACCCTCGTACCCGAAGTCGAAAAAGAACTCCTGTTGAAATCGGGTACGTCATCGAGGGTATGGACCCTTTTTACGGATAGGGCTTCGAACGTGAAGGGGTCCGGGCTAGGCATAGTTTTAAAGCCACCCACGGGTAACACTATTAGGCAATCTATTAAAACTACCAGGTTGACTAACAACGAGGCCGAGTA